GACTTGAAATTGAAAATGGAAGTCTAACTATGCTACCGCATATTATAACAAAAAATTCTGAATTTCCCTCAGAAATAGGAAATAAAAAGCAACTACAAAAGTTTCTTAGAATCTTAAATTATGGAGAAGGCTACATAGCCAAATTGGCAGCAATATGTAAGCCTTTACAAGCAAAATTAAAAAAGGATGTTATTTTTACTTGGTCACCAAGTGATACAACGTATGTAGAAAATATAAAGAAAAAACTCAAATTCTACCCACGTTATATCACCCTCAAGAAAATGATAAAATGATTTTGGAAACAGATGCCTCAGACTCTTACTGGAGCGCAGTTTTAAAAGTAAAACCAATAGACTCTACAGAAGAAAAATTGTGTAGATATACTTCAGGAACCTTTAAAGATGCTGAAAAGAATTATCATAGTAATAAAAAAGAATGGCTAGCAGTTTTACGGGGCATTCAAAAATTCAAAATATATCTTATCTCCAATAAATTTTTAGTAAGAATTGATAATAAAAATTTCAATTATTTTATTAAAAATGAATTTAAAGGAGATTATAAACAGGGTAGATTGATTAGGTGGCAATTACACCTAAAACACTATCAATTTGATGTTGAACACATAAAAGGTGATAAAAATTATCCTGCTGATTGTCTAACAAGGGAATTTGCAGGTATTTGATTGAAGAAACAGACACTTGAACAAGATCATCAAAAAATTGCAAAATCAAAAGCAAAAAGGACCAGAATGGATCTTCAAGTTGAAGAACTCAAATTGGAAATCATGCAAAAGGAGCATGAATTGGAAATCTTAAAGCAGAAATGGAAGATAATACAGTTGAAAAATCAGACAGAGAAGGGAAAACTCTCAGAGTCTGATAGTAAAAGCGAAGCCAAAACCACAACCGAATACATAGACGCTTTGGTGAAAGATCAAAAGACTCAATCAACCTTTATCGAGGATGAAAGGGCACCTAACTGGTACACGGTGCACACCGGACCAAAAATTGGAGTTTATAATAGCTTCGAGAAAATAAAAGACTTGCCACCAGAATACTATCATACGACAAAAACTGAATTTGAAGCAAAAATAATCTTTGAAAAGCTAAAGAACAAAATCATTGAGAGAGTACCAGTATTTCGTAACACTGGAATTCCTAAAGAACATCATTTGAAAAATCCATTCATAAAATTTGATGAATTTAAAATGCAGCAACTAGATAGTAAGTTAATCAAACTACTATAACCAGAAAGAATGGCTCACGTTATACAAAGAGGTAAACGCGAGTACAAGTGAACAAGGATATATTCCTATTAGCAGAAATCAACAAATTAAAGTCATTCTGCTACCAGGAGTTACACCTAAAATAACAAGAGACTTGTTCCGATGAGGATTCATTGATACCCTCTACCCAGAGAACAGTTGAAAAGAGTTGTCATATTTTCCAAAAATCAAACAGGCTATCGCTCTGTACATGGAAAAATGCAGAATTCGTGAAAATAACAAATCAATCTTTGTCAAGATCTAGAGTTCAATACCAGACTGGAACAAAGAAGAACAATACCCAACCTACCACTATATTCATGTTGGGGTATCTAGAGAAGTGAAACCACCAGTACCACTGGTACAAGAAAAACCTCCATTAAAAGAGGAAGAGCTGAAATTAGAAAGAGCTGATAGAATTTATTTTATCTTGAAAACATTATAAAAAATAAATTCATCAATCCAAATTAAAGTAGATTATTGCCGCCTGAATATTCTTCTGGTCAGTAATTTCAACAAGAAAATTGACAAACAAGACTTGGCCATAGTCCAGAATTGGCAGGATAATCTTATTCTTAAGATCCATGCCACATAAGCAACAAAGCAAATGGGACAGTCCATTGTTCTTACAGTCAATGAGGAGAAAGAAAAGCACCAGAAGAAGAAGAAGAAGGTTGCCGACACTAACGACAAAAGAAAGCCAGGCAAGCAAAAGGAAAAACATGTGAAGGACCCTACTACTTCAAAAAAAGAAGAAAACAGCTCATGCAAGCCAGCTGCCAGAGAAGAAAACCTGCCAACCATTCCATGTGACACTTGATAATTGAAGACCCTACCACTATGTAATAATGTAGCAGACAAACTCATGTGAAGAGTTTCTGCATTTTTGTCTTCTTTTCATAATGCGTTTGGTGAGATGACAACTTGTGCCGAACCCCAATAATTCACGAATTTTTAGTTTCTATATAAGGGGGTGCCATGGGAGTGTGTAAGGCATCAATCCTCATATCCTGAAAAACGTCTCTAAATTCTGTAAACAGTTTTTAATATTCAATAAAAGAAGTTTTAATAAATTAGTCTAAAGAAGCTATAAGCTTCAAATCCTAGAAGCATTTAAGCTTCAAACACTTAGAAGTTATCTAACTTCTGAAGAAAAAAGAGTCCAAAAGGACCAATAGCTTAGGCTAAAATTTCTCTGGAGATTATTGGAGACACAATCGCTCGTCGGAGTAAGACCTGAAGTAAAGGGCTGTAAGATGACTTGGAGTAAGGTGTTTGGAATTTGAGAAGAAAAGCAGGAAGCTATGGTGGACCAATCATCTCAAATATACTAAAACAGAGAAAAATTTCAAATTCCAGAAGAAATGTATGAATTCAGAACTTTATGACGAAGTTTCTAATAATATTGATAATAGCATGAAATTACCCTTAAGCCTTGATAAATATGGAGAATTAAAAAGTTTAGAAAATAATCTTTTAACATCTATTAAACTAGATGTTTTAGAAAAACTAAAAATTTTAGAAAATGGTATTCAAAGACAAACTATTAGAAATAATAAATCCATATCAAAAAATAATTATTACAATGATATTCATCCTTCACTTGTAACTAGAGAAAAAGAGTTAGCTAAAATTATATCAAACTTAGAAAAACTTCGTATATAAAGAAAAGTAATATTCTGCAACTAGCACTAAACAAGTTTCAAAGAAAAATTCCGCAAGAAAAGATGAGTTTACAAAAGAGCCCAGAAAATGAAAAAGAGCCGAGCAAATGGTATCAGAGCCTGGTAACAGGTGAAATACTTAACTAAAAGTGCCACAAATAGATTGGCTAAATGCATTTTTAGCAAGACGTAAAACTCTTGAAAAGAAAATTGTAAATACAGCACCACATTATGAAATACATGAAAAACACATAGAATATTGGAAAGATAAGCTTGAATGTATAAATTTAGCTATCCAAATTTTAGAAACAAACAATAGAACTTATTCAAGATCAGAAGAGCAATTCTTTGTAAAATGTTTAGATCCTTGGAGATTGAAAGAACAAAGTGAATAAGTTAATAGAATTAAAATATAAATCTAATAGATTACTTTTCAAAAAACAATAACAGAAGGCATTATGAATAATGAAAATAATCTTTTAGATTACTTCTCAAAACACGAAAAATCAGGTTACTTAATTGAAGCCCTGATAGATGCAAATAAACTAAGAATAGCAGATCATGACTTAAAGAAAATCATAACTTCAGAAATGAAGGATTAATAAAGAACTTAAAGAACTTAGTTTCTAGAAAAAATAAAATATTCTTTGGAATTATTTCTGGAGAAGAGGCAATAGATACAGATCAAACAGAAGGAAATGTAGTTATTCCTGTTATCTGTAAGGAGCAAATACTTTCTTCATTGAAAAGTATTAGACCAGAAACTAGGAATAAAATTTCTTATTTACATGTTTCTATTATACAAATGATTCTTAAATCAACTTATAGTCTAGGAATAGATTCACCTATCACAATAAGACTAGTTGATAATAGAATGATTGATTATTCTGATGCTCTAATAGCTGAAGGAAATGGAAACTTAAAATTTGGTAAAATTAAGTTTAACTTAAACTACCATGTGGGAATGTCTTTATTATACAATAATTTAGACGACTCTATCACTTTGTGTTGGAACATGAAGAGAAAAATAATGAAAACCGGAAACCATCTATTTTCAGTAACGTGGAGAATAAACTATGCATTGACTAACAATCATCATAGTCTGTCATTCAAACCACATGGTAAAATTGAAATTGATGAATTGTTTTCACCTATACTACAATTAGAAGCGCCTAAAAGCTCTTTTCAAATTCATAGAACTTCGTCTTTTGTTAGACCTAAAATAGACTACGTTATTCCTAAGCAAAATAATGAAGAAAATGAAGCTAGCTCTTAAAAAATAGATACTTTTACTGAAGTAACATAAAACCTAATAGCAAAATATATAAAATTGAACAAAAGGTTCAAGAGATAAGTAATGAATTAGGACTCAAAATATAATAAGTTCTAACAAAAAATATATAACGAAATTACTTTCGTTATATCACAATGAAAAACGAAAGAACATTCGTTATATAATATAAGGGTATTTTTGACCTTTCATTTATTACATTTTATAAGAAAAGCAATGGGGCTTTTGACTAGGCCTCTTAAATAAAGATCCCATGTAGAAAGGGTTAGTTGGAACAATTTCCACCTCACTTTCTCCTCGTTGCGTTCCTACGTAATCCCAGTCCCCAATTGATTACGGTTTATCGAGTGTTGAATCGCGCCGTTCATTTGTTCTTCTTCCGGCAGCCAGCCCAGCCATGAAATTCCTCTCAGCTAATGCAACGGCCGTCCCCAAATCCAATTTCAGATTCCTCTCCTCTTCGAATCCGCTGCGCACCCCTTACAGCTTCCGACTCTTCTCTCATGTCCGTGGGTCGGAAAATCCTCCGGCACAGGCGGCGGTGCCTCCTGCAGCAGATAAGAACGTCGATCTCCAAACTTGGTTCAAAATCGTCAACAAAAACTATAAGCCCATGTTTATGGTCAAGCATGCATACTGTAATCGCCAACATTATTCCGTAATTTTAGAGGGAAGAAGCAGCCAGTGGAAGATGGAGCTATATCCCGCTTGTTGTCTCTGTCTACCCCCGCTGGAAAATTTCCATGGTAGTACACATTATGTTGTCTCTATTTGTAACACGATGATGTTTATCAGCTTTGGGTTATACGGATTGCTTCTTTGGGACGTCACAACCAAAGAGGTGAAGACAATTCCTGAACCTGATTTGAGCGGAAAGATGACCAGAAACACCCGTAGTCATAGTGGTATGGGGATCGACCCTGTTTCTGGGGACTACAAGGTTGTCCGAATCCTCATGACCTACCCTATACTTCACTCAATTGATTGTATTCCAGACACCAAAGCCGAGCTCTACTCGTTCAAAACTGGTCACTTGAAGCAAATCCCATATCCTCATCAATTCCAATTCTGCGGTGACCCTGTTTGTTCGGTTCACGTCAACGGCTCTTACTACTGGGCACTATCAAAAGAGCCCGGTTACATCCTTTCCTTTGACTTTGCTACCGAGAAGTTCGATTCTCGTCTTATACCGATACCCAAGACTCGTGGGATTGTGGTCGATCATTTTCCTAATTTTCATCTCGTTGAGTTTCAGGGCTCCCTCGCACTCGTTTATAATAAATGGGCGGACAATAACCTTGCTGCTGCTGTAAAAGAATCTTGTCCTGATTTCGAGATTTGGGTATGGAATGACGAGTCGTGGTCTCTGGTATCCGCATTCAGCATCCCTGTTCCTAATCCATGTTTTATGGGCTTCTTAGAGAATGATAAATTATTCATCAAACACAATGATAACAAGCTGCTGCTTTTCGATCTGGCAACTAGACAGCTGCATGATTTGGGTCCCTGGGATCCCTTGTTGGAGCAGAAGATTTTCCCTTTGGTCCCAGGCTTCCTTTCTACACCATAACATCTAGAGTATGGTTTTGTTGGTTTCCATATTCCATGGGTGTTAACACTTACTGCATGTCATTTGTTTGAATTTCTGTTCTGCAATATGTATAGTTTTATGACTTTGTGCAATGCCATTTGTTTGAATTTCGGTTGTGCTATATGCATGGTTCTTAGCACCCCATTAGTAAGCCGGTTCGGGAATATTATTGATTCATTTGGGTTTATATACTGAAAATTTTCTCATTATCATAGCAGATCAACCAAAAA